ATAAATAAGGATATGGAGTCAATGAAGGCTTAAAAGTCCTAATTTTTAATTGTTCCCATGTAGAAAAAACAATCGAAGAAACTTGTATTACAACAATTCCATTCAACCACATAGTTTACAAGATTCCCTGACGAAGATCCAACATACTTTTTGTGCCTTTGGTTTGCTTAAATATACAATTGCATTTAGTGCTTTTAGTCTGAACGCCACCTTATGTGGAATGTGTCAGATCAGAGACAACAAGGTTCAGTCATAGCCATCTCCGATTTAGAACTGCTGTCCACAAGGAGGACATCCATACAGTCAGCAGCACCTGTCACTTATACGGCTACTTTTAACCAAATAGTGGAATTGATTGTCACACTTACAACTCCTTCTTTACGAAAAAGAGATGGGTATACTCAATTACATAACGAGGCTCGATCATAGGACCTTTTTAACTATTTGCCCTCTTCTGTACTTGAACATTAGATGCCCAACTCATGGTTTTGGAATCAGACGTCTGTGTACAGTGGAGGGTCTATGGTAAGTTTTCAGGATATATGGTCTAATATTGACCCAGCTATCCTTCATAAAAATTGGAATTGTAGGTCAGCCAAAATGGACGACGATGAAGTATTTTCAATTGCAGAATGTAACCTGGAACACTCTCTATAAAAATGCGATTAACCATCAGTATAAGTTTACTATCAACTGCAAATCACTGCTTAAACTTTTTTAAGTGAAGACGGTCAATCTCTTGTACCCACATTTATGTTTCTTGTAACTGGAAAGTTGAAATAACTTTAGATTGTTTGTTTGTTTGTGTGTTTGTTTTGAATTTCGCGCAAAGCTACACGAGGGCTATCTGCGCTAGCCGTCCCTAATTTAGCAGTGTAAGACTAGAGGGAAGGCAGCTAGTCATCGCCAACTCTTGGGCTACTCTTTTACCAACGAATAGGGGGATTGACCGTCACATTATAACGCCCCCACGGCTGAAAGGGCGAGCATGTTTGGTGGGATGGGGATGCAAACCCGCGACCCGCAGATTGCGAGTCGAGCGTTCTAACCACCTGGCCATGCCGGGCCAATAACTCTAGAAGGGCTTTCTATTTCAGTGAAAGTATTTTTTTTCCCCCATAGTCCTTGCGGACCGTCGAGCCGATG